ATATTAATCTTTCCTCATTTGGTATAGGTGAAGATTTAGGGATGAATCCTTTCGAAGAATTGGGGGATAATGTGATCCAAGGTACCCGGGAAGAACATTTTTCAGAGACACAAGCATCAATTCGCGAGTTATAAAAATCCTGCGGGTTGCAAGGATCTCGGGGGATTTTTACCCATGTGCACAGAGCCGCAAATAAAGAAGACAACATGCACATGCTTGTATGCGAAAATTCGTGTACGCACACACCCGCGTGAGAAGACCAGATACACATGCATGCACTGCAAGAAGAAGTTTGCACTCGCGAGAAAGGGGATATTCCCCAAGGGAAAAAGAAATCCTCTTCCTGTGTGGACTCCTATGAGTCTGCCAAAAAGGAGATTGATATTTTCGGCCTAAGAAAGCTTCATACATTGGCTCAACATCAAGAATATTCTAAGAACTTTCCAGAAGATGGACTTAGAGACCTTAGAAGAGGAATCATGATGCCTATAGGCCCAATCACAAGATTAAGGTCCAAGAAACTTCAACAAGTCTTCAAACTTCTTGATGTTGAAATAGTGAAGAAATAAGTTTAGAGGCCCAAGAAAGTTCAAAAAAAGTGCCTAAGAAATCAAGTAAGGCCTCAGCCATGTGTGAATCTCATCATCCACACATGTGGCTGAGAGAAAGCAAGAAAGAAAAGTTCCATCGTATAAGATTCCTCTTCTCATGAGGAAACTAATTCCTCATCCAACTTCTTCTCTTAGAATCTTGAAGACTCCTACTTGAAGAAGACAAGTAACACAAGAGGAAGAATCTAAGAAAAAACAATAAAACAACTTCAACTTTTCGAGATAATGATTTTATTTGTTTGATTCCATTTGATCTAACACCTTCACCTTTGCAGGAAATTATAAATACAAATTGACAACAAAGATCTGAGATGATTAAAGCCATACATGAGAATGTCATATAACGTATCAAGAAGCAAAATGAATCTTATGCTCGTATGTACAATGAAGAAAAAAATCGTGTCACTGTGATTAATTTGGGTCATATGTGAGAAATTGTAAATAGCAACTTTAGCTGATC